GGGGGGCGGAGGGTGGGAAGGGTCAGACTAGGATTTCAAAATGTTGAGTAGATAAACAAGATTATACTGTATATAGCACAGGGAAATATATACAAGATCTTGTGGTAGCTCACAGCGAAAAAAAATGTGACAACGAATATATGTATGTTCATGTATAATTGAAAAATTGTGCTCCACATTGGAATTTGACACAACATTGTAAAATGACCCTAACTCAATAAAAAAAAGTTAAAAAAAAAAAAAAGCAGCAGCAGCAGCAGCAGGTGTGCTGCTGAGACTTGGCCCCAACACTGGACGGCACAAGAACTAACTGCCCAGGACGGAAGGCACTGATGAGGAAGACGCAGCGGTTGTTTGGAACACTGTGGGTGTGACTTCAGTGTGCTACCTTCTAGGCACGCAAGGAAACCTTCCTCTTACCTCTTAAGCTGTGTGTAGTCCATAAAAACCTAGCGGTCCCTGGCTTTGTACGCTAAACTGAAACATTTCTAAGTGATATCTTAGTCTCCCTGCCTGAGTCCCCCAGAGTCCTGTGCGGTGTCCTCGCTCTCCTGGTAATAGAGCCACTTGCGCAGGTTCACACCTGTCCATGTTCTCACGAGAACTGGACTGGAAACACGGATTCTGCAGCCGGGGCCCCGCCTGGACGGCCAGATGTGAGAATGATACTGACTGGATCGTCAGGACCCACCGCTTGTCAGCAGCCGATACCCACAAAGCCCTCCCAGGAGAGCGGCCAGGGACCAGGCTTACAGAGGAAGGCCGTCTCCCAGCGGGTCCAGGAACCTCAGGATATTTTGGAAACCTCAGGAAAATGGGATTTGCTCAACATCACTGGGCCGATGAAACATGGCGAGCTCTTGGCTTCTGGGACTAAGAAGCTTTCAAAAGTCTGATCTGAAACCCTGACACAAACTTCCAGCAAAGTGAACTCAAGGCCAACGCGGTGAAGTCACCTCTTGCTGCACCTAAGGAAACAGTCAGGCCCTCGTTTTGTGATCAAAAATCACCTTTCTTTGAGTTTGTTTTTTCTTAAATCAAAAGGGAAAAAACTGTGCCTCAGTGGAAACGCACTGCCTCCCGCACAGCCCCGGAGCTGGGAGGGTCTTGCCTTCCCCCGCGC